TCCTTTTCTTGTCCTCTCTGCTCCAGCGAATGAGCTTCAGGGTGCCACATGGTGCTCCTCTGCCCAACTTGCAGGGACGGTTGGGTGTGGTGTTGCAGCCATTGCCTTTTAAAGTTGTTGTTATTCCCAGGGCTGGATGGGAGGATGGAGGAAAATGACAGAGTGGAGGCAGACAGTCAGGCTGGGTGATGAGAAACAGAAACGTAAATTGCTCATTCCATGTCATTTCATCACGTGCCTCCTACTGCCCAAAATCCAAGCAAAAAAAAAAAAGGAAGAAAACCAAATTCAGGTGAAAGATACACCTCTTAATAGCAACAGAGAGAGGAATACCAGTTTGTGGTGTCTCTGCTGTCATTAGTTTTCTCACAAAAAACAAAACAAAACAAAAACAGAGAAAAAAATGTTTTTAAATGTTTTTGTTGCATTGTTTTTTGAGGATTCATGTTTGCAAGTCCTTTATCCAATATGAAATTTTACATAAAGATGTGAATCTTAACCTTGGGATTTTTTTCAGGCAAAGGGGAGATTTTATTAAAGCTTATGAACTGTGATGGAGCCATACCATAACCATAATGCACATATAGCTAAGAGAGTAAGCTAAGCACTTCCATAACCATTAAACTAACCCATTAAACCATCATTCTAGTCAAAATATTCTATATTGTTGTTGTTCTTTAGGAAGCTCTTTGTCGTAACATACTTCCATCATATTTGGATAAAACAAAAAACACAGTTATTTTGTTAAATAAACATTGGGTAGATCTGACCAATAAACGTGTTACTAATTAGTATAAAATTATTATGAAGTATACCATATAAAGTATTAGTATAAAACTAGCAACTATCCCCTGCCACTATTGCCGTTTTTAGGGGGTTTTCCTACCTGTGCAGTTTGGTCAGTTCAAGTCAAACTCTGGTTGAGAGGTGTCACACTTTGCGCTTGGTAACAGGAATGTCCTGTGGATTTTTCCCCACATTTTGGCTCACATGATAACAGTGTTTTAATGACCCACAGGAATGCTTCAAAAAAAATATGACCAAGAGGGGTTAAGTACTCTGGGCTGTCAGTTATTTTAGAAGAATCCTCCTGGATGCAAGGCAAAACAACTTCACATAGTCCAGTTGACTTCATTTTAACCATTCAAGGTGTGTTCAGTTGTGAATATGGGCATCACACTTAGACGTGGGCCAATATGAGTGGACAGAGACCCTTTAGTGGCTTTGGTCGGGTTTCAAACAAACTCCAAAGCAGTTTTTTATAGAACCATCCGACTCAAGTACTCGGTCTATGCTGCAGTTTTGAGTTAGACGGCCCGTAGCCAGCCATGGTCTGCAATCTGGTGTGCAGCAGAGCACTACAGACACAGACTACAGTTCATCCTGAAATATCATCTAATATAATGAGTTTGTAAACTACAGGTATGAAAATGCCCTGAGAAGGTTGACAAGAAATTGTTTGACTTGGTAGTTTTATGCTGAATTCCCTTCCTGACACGACAAGCAAACTTATGTCCCCGGCTGGAATCAAAGTTTACCACCACACTATGAAACCAGGTACTGATTTCTTCTTTAAATAACAGACAAAAAAATGTACAAGAACACTGTAAATCCTTAGAAATGTTAGTGTAATGGTGGAACCTTCCCTACAGCTTCAAGCTGCTAATACCTTCAAATTTTCACTACTTTTTTTAAACTTTAGTATTAACGACTATGTGATAATTTTATTACTTGTTCAATCATCATCTGTAATTGTTACAAAATACAGTCTGTCATTATTATTATTTCAAATGAATAAATGATGACTAATCTTCAGTGTGGTTGTAGCACTTCTTCATTTTCTGTCCTATATGGATGAAATGTTGTTCTACTAGAAAGAGCAGAAAGACAGTTTTTTTTTTTTAGATTTGACAGTTTATTCAGTATATTTTCACACACTTTTAGAACAGGCTGGTTTAGTTGGATCACACACACATACACTCATACATACACGCTAGCTATTAATTTAGTATTACTACTAATTAGCTCGGTTGCCATTGTAATATTAATGGGTTTTAACAACTAATCTCTTCAGTGCTTCTTTCGACATCGCCGACAAACCTCATGCATACAGGAAGGACAGAAGAGATTACTAGAAGAGCATAGCATCCTTTAGACAGAGGGATGGATCCCTACAATAGAAGGAACAACAACACTTTCAGAAAATTAAATAATTTTGCTATACACCACAGGTGAAGCTGCTTACAGTTGCATCGTCCAAAAAGTGAAAATTGATCAAAGAGCCAAAAAGAGAAATTTGGTTATTCGAAAATCTAAACGGACTCTAGTCATGTTAAGATCTGTGTTTGTTTCACAGGGTAAGATAATAATAACAGGGTACAAACTCTGCATGACCAAATACTGACTGTACCATGACCATGACCAAACATTTGGTCATCAGACTTTAGTTCCAAATTTAGTCTTTTGTTAGCATCAATGTAGGCAGTTTTACATAAAGAGAACAGGTCACCCCAAAAATTAAAACATGACTCATTGCCTCCAAATAGCTCCTGCTCCTGGATCTCAGGATGGACTTCCATTTATAGCCCCCACCATTAGCAACTCTGATGAGAAGTTATGATGAGAATACAGCTTTTAGCTTGTAACATTCGCCCACAATCTTCACGTAATCATCAAACAAGCATGCGTCTTTCTCCAGAAGTTAAATAAACCTGGTCTCTTCTGACTTCAGCCAGAATGTCAATGACGCAATAGGTCATCTGGCTTACAATCCATCACAATTCACTGCTTATTAACTTGAAAATAACAAACTGATCTTGACCTTAAGTACAGTTTAGGTGAAGACACATTAGTTGATCATTTTGTGCAAGTTCCACTAAAACTTCGCAAATACTTCAGGAAGAGTAGAGATTCTTGTGAACTATTAAGAGAAGGCAGATGCCTCAACATGGTCAAAGTTCAACGATCCTTTGGCCAGATGAGCTAAAATAACAAGATGGTATGGCCTTTAAGATAAGGAACCACAGAGTAAGATTACAGCAACTATGGTATACTTTTATAAAATGGTCTAAGAAGAAAACCATTTCAGTGGTTAGCCAATGGGCTGGGTAGGTGATCAGTTCCCTTTAATGGTTACACTACCTCAAATGTATGGAGTCAGAGAAAAACAGGAACTTAAATGCTTTTACATGGATACTTTTTGACTCTGTTTGAGCAAAACGTTTAAAATAACACATTGTGACACTACAAACATGTGACCTGTCGATGCAAAACCTGTCAACGTGCTAGTAAATGTAAAACTCTTCAGTGCAAGAGAACACTTGTTAACATCTGATGAAAATGATAAGTCCTGGTTTAACTCTAACAAAAAGACAGAGACTGGGGTTTCCAAAAGTTATTCAGTTCTAAAATTAGCCTCACATTCAAGGAGACTGGGTACAATGGGTCGAAGATTTTATCCCCAAAACGCCAAAGGAGACAGTTACCATGTTGGCTTCCAAGAGCTTCAGTAAAAACTCTTGATGGTCAACATGTCACAGCTCTAAAGTCACAATCACACAGCTCTAGAGACTCTTTGACACTGACTGGCAACTCCTGGTTGCAAGGAAATATTTAGCATTTCCCAACTGGTTGCAAGTGGCTTAACAATGGCAAGTGACTTCTGGTAACCACTAGTTACCAGGGAAAAATGTGTATTCCCCAAACGGTTGCCAGGTGGCTGCTTGATGCTGCTTGGTAAAATAAGTCACAAGATAGAGATGATGTTGAGTCTAAAACCTTCTTGCCTTTGCTTTGGTTGCTAGGAGATTGCAGTGGTTGCGTGATGCAGAATTATCTGCAAACACTTATCACTGAGTGGCTTCGAAAATGAAAAGTGCAACATAAAGTTTAATAAGATTGTTTCCCTCCAAAGTAAAAGTTATGCCCTTTCAAACAAGATGGTATCAATGGTTTCTATTTCAGCCCCATGTTGCCCTGTGTTGCACTCTTCAGACCTTCAGAACCACCAGTGAGTAGTTTGCAACTGTTTGCAGACAAGTCTGCATCTTCAGTATAAACTACAGGAAACTGCTGCAATCTGCTAACAATCAAAGACATCACAAGGAGATTGCTGTTGCTGTTTGTGATCAATTTCAATGAGTTACCTCCAACAAATACTCCACATCTGGTTGGGAATGCATATTTTTACATACTTACTGGACCTTGCCAAGGTTCGCCAAGTGGTCTCTTGGCTTGTGTGACTAAGGAATTGTAAGGCAGATTAAAGAGCTCCACAGCTTTGGGAACCCGGGCTTGCAGACAGATTTCAGGCAACATTTCCCCAGTCATTCTGGTCAAAAGTCCACACAAACACACACACACACACACACACATACACACACACAGAGCGAGAACAGCTCTAGCTAATGCTAAGTAGTAACAGTTGTCAAGTAGAAATAGCACTCATTAACCATGGAGATATATATAACCTTATTAGTTCAGGTATACAAAAAACTTCAAAACAAACCAAAATTAATAAACAAAACAAAAAAAACAAACACCACCAGTAACAACATTTACCACAACATCAACGGCTTGTTGTCATCCTTGAACTTTCTGGAGGTCCGTCAGCCACGGCAAACTCTTTGATCTCAATCCATAAGATGAATCCGTTCAGACTCACATAAGTCCAGGTTCAAAACCAGGTATATGCACACTGATCCAAGTATTAATCCAGTCTTTTGTACGTTGGCTACCAAAACAGTCTGCTTCGTCATGTCCTTTGTATGGTGGGACACTGCTTCTGTCCATGACAGCGTCGTATATTGTGAGAGGTATCCGTATGGACACCTCTGCCAAGAAAGTTGTACATGAAGTACGTGAAATACATGTTGTAATGCAGCATGGACACAGGATTTAAGGATATCACCAGGTGAACCCTGCACCATGGGGACCTGACCATTCTCATGTCTTTGCTTTTTTTAGGCAACAGTTAAACATTCCAACCTTTAAGAGTTCTGGTTTAAGCATTCACCTGCCAGTACGATCCAATAACACCACTGTGCACTATTTCTCTTATTGGAGTCAACACACTTTCCAACACACTGCAAATTTAACGCACGTCTGTGAAAACTTTCAAATGCAGCTAACATTAACAGGCTGCAAAAACAAGTGCACTTTGTGGGAGCAGATATGAAGGCATCTTACCCTTTGTGCTCCAACCAGTTCAGTTTTAAGAATCCATGCGCTACAATGCTACAACACAAGATAACAAAGTGACAGTATACATTTTTGAATTGTATGCATTCGACTTGATGTTATACACCGACACACAGAGTCTCACAAATGTGTGATGGCGCACTTCCATCAAGCGCGTTGGAAATTACTTGTGTCCTTAAAACTGCACAATTATTCTACTGCTGTCAGGTGAAAAAGAAAAGAAAACACAGACAAAGGTAGGCAGAATTTGCTTGAACCACAGTAGAAATCCAAACCTTACAGATTTTACAATCAATGATGATGCATTCTTACTATGAAGCCTTTCAGAGGTGGTTATTCTGCAGCTCTCTCTCTGGCTATTTACACACAGACTCTTGCTGAAAAATATTGCTTTTCACTAATTTCACACTCTAAGGTGACTTTAAACACATTAGCCATTACTATACAAACATTATTCTGTGTCACTGACAAAATATACTCTACCTTCAAGTCTTTTTGTCACAAAATATCAATATTGACATGTTTATTATGTGAAGAGTGTACGAAACATTAATTGGTACCAACCGCTGCCAAAAAAATAAATCACAGTTCTAGCCAGATTGTGGGGCATCATTTCTAAGGCCTTAAAATATCTTGACTTACTGGCAAAACGTTGATTGGAATACATTTACTTGATCCCATTTTACCAGGACAAAGGAGAGTTGTCTATGAATAAGAGGTGCATGAAGCGTAAAGCAAGATGCTACTGTTTAGATGTATTGTATCATCTGACCTCAAACTCAGTGAAAGAGGCAAAGAAGGCAAGACGGGAACCATGACGTGTTTCGTCTCTGCTGTGTTTGGCGCTTTGTTTCTCTCTAAACGTACCCATTGTTTGCGTTTATTTATGTAAGAGCTTTTCTCTGTTGAATGGCTGACGCACAGGAAGCCTGCCGATCCTGTCCACCCCGAAAATCTTCTACACACAATCAGGATCGCAGGAAAAAAAAAAAAAAAACATCAACAGAAAAAAGTAAATGAAAAATAAAAAAAGCGACCCACCTAATTCTACCCTTCTGACAGACTTTTTCATCAAAAACGTCCCCTTAATGAATGAATCAGCTTTCCTGCTGTCAGTCAGCGTGAATCATCCGCCTACATCAGCCTCTCTTCAATTCCAAACCAGCCAATTTGTCCCCAGCACATTGCCAAACCTACGTCATCACCCAAGACGAGCGAGGCATCTCTGGCTACATGTCCAACTATTTAAAGTTCCTTATTTTTTTTTATTAACCGTGGACAACATAATTTCTGTGAGGGGTGTGATGCAATCTACAGCGACAATCTGTGCAGTCTTAATTCAGTATTAATGACGAATTGTGACAGTCATCGGATCGGCTGAGTTTCTCTCTGAGCATTTAAATCCTCTGCATCACTAAAACAGCATTAATCTGCTAGTCTGCTGAATTTGGGGGAAACAACCACTTTTTAAGGTTTCTGGTGTAGCCAACAAAAGTCTGTATCAAGACTACTTCTGCCCATGAGTCATTGGTCTACAAATGCACCAAAACTTAGGCTAGCAAAAGCCTAAAAGCTAATGATTTTGTGGTTTTGCAAGTAAAATTACACAAATCCAATCCCTGACTGTTTGCCTTCATGCAACTTGCTGTGCAAACATGGTTAGAAAAATGAACTTGAAGTAGAAACCAAAATTATTAGCAATTATCATCAAGTGTTTGATGACTGCATGCAGCATATGTTTTGTAGATATTTAATGGCATGTCCATCTGCTGTCACAACCAAACCATGACTGAGATGGTTATTTGTTTAATGGAAACTAATAATGTCATCAATTACTTTGTGTTTACAATTTTTGTTGCTGGCTAACAAATTACTCCATCTGTTGTGAAAGCCTCCAATGTACATGAGTTAAAATCACGTTGGAACTGAAAACGTCAACCTCAAGATGATCCTACAATCAGAGTTAAGGTTAACTCTAACTGTAACCCTAATGTTTTGAATAAAGAAAACTATATTTTTGCTAGTTTCAAGTTTTGTGTCAGTTTTTCTTTTGCCCTGGATGCCAAAGCTCAGGAGAACAACTTTCAAAAGCTAAAAAAACCTATTGTTCAATACCACAGATTAGATTTTAGGGTTTAGTTCCCACTTTACAAAGACTTTCCTGTAACTGTGAACCCCACTTAATGGATGTGCAGATCCTTTACGATTGGGTGCTTCAGATAATGCTCCATAATCTTTGTTAGAGATATAGATTTTCTTCATAAATAGGCAACTGTCCAAAATGAAGTAATAATGGATGGGTAGAAATTTTAGAGGCCGCTTTTGCAGCACCATCTAAATGAGATAAAATTAGGGAGATGGGGCCCACCTAGCTGACAACAGCTCTGCAGTGTGGTAGTCCTAAAACTTCTCCAACATTGCATGGTATTTGAGTGAAAACCGCTCTTGTACCTGGATATGTCAAAAGTTGGCACAAGAACTCTTTATGATTCCAACTCATTTTAAGAAACTCTCAAGTCAGCCATCTAAAAATTGTGCATGCCTATTAACGGGACCTATTTTATCCTCAGTCAAAATCACATTTAACTAAAGCCTTTCCAGTTACAGAAAGATTTAAGGGTAAACACTATCGATCAGTTCTTGTTGTCTGGAACCCCTGTCTGGATGGCAAATGACCCTACTTATGTCAGTCACACTGTCTCCATGACAATGACGACTTCGCCGCTGTCCTCAGATGTTGGTGTTGTGGTGGCGGTCGGAGTACACAGTGTAAGTCCTTCCTCTGTGGTCACCTGACCCCTTGCAGGGCAGTCCACACTGTCATGGAGATCAGAGTCACTATTTCTTTTATCTCTCTCCCCTCCATTTCCTCTCCTGCCACCTTCCTCCTCCTCCTCCTCCTCTTCATCCTCCTCCTCTACTCGACACCTGCACACCTCGATCCCAGAGTCACCTGTGAGTCGCCGGTGTCTATACTGGCTCTCATCAGCTCCCATGTCCTCATCGTCGTCTTCGTCATTGTCCTTCTCCTCCTGGTCCTCGTCCTCATTCTCCCAACTGGGTGGTCCTGGCTCAAAGACATCCACGCAGGGGGAAAACAGAGTCTGTTTTGGTGGAGACTGAGTAGCACGAGGTGATGGTGAGAGGGAGGATGCGTGGCCAGAGGAAGATCCACCTTTGTCAGACTGGTGGAAAGCAGTAAGGGGGTCCAGAAGTAAGGCTGGAGCAGGAAGGGAGGTGGAAGAAAGGGCTTGAAGAGTTAGGGGAGGAGGAGGAGAAGTAGAAAGGGATGGGGGTGAGGATGGGGAGAGTGTCGCAAGGGGTGACTGACAAGTAGCATAAGAAGATTCAGACTCTATGGTTATGGCTGGGCAGGGGGAAGCAGTGGACACTTGTTCTGAGAAAGTGAGAAGTGGTGTAGGGGTGGACAGAGGCTCAGACTCAGAACCAGCCCCAGGGCGCAATTCAAATCCAGAACAAGAACCAGAACTAAAACACGCCTGGGCATTTGAAGGCAATGGAGGAATATGGTCAAACTCAGACAATCGAGGCGGGACCAGAGAATGACCTGAATGATCTGTTTCTGCAGTTGAATCCAGGCAAGATGTTGAAACAGCAATAGACCCTAAATGCTGGGATAAGTGTGACCCAGGGCTGGGATGACCCTCGACTAAACCTGATCCAGGTGATAGTTCTAGGTTCTGGCACTGAGTTAGGATGGGTAAAGTTGGTGCTGCATCTGTGACTAGGGCAAGATTTGCATGCCTTGGAGACAGAAGGCTATTAACTGGTGAATCTGCAACTACCCCAGCTTTATGCTGTGGATTTGGAAGCAGGATATGATCTGAAGTTACCAAATCTGGAGGTTGTGTAAGCTTTAGAAATAGTGATTGTGGTTCCTGACCTTGTGTAAACTTTGTATGTTCTTGGACTGGAGACTGGGTAAGCTTTGTAGGTTCTTGGACTGGAGACTGGGTAAGCTTTGTAGGTGATGGAATTGGTACAAGAGTTGGGTCAGGAGTTAGGCAACCAGAAACAGAGCTTGCTATTGGAGACAAAGTTCTTCCAGCATCTGGTGATGGAACTGAGGCTGGGCTATTAGGAGAACTGACTGTATCAAAAGTCCTTGTTAAATTTAGTGTTTCCAGTGATTTTATTGTTATAGAAGAGTCAGAAGCAGTTGGGGTAGGAGGCCTTGACATTAAGGGAATCTTTGGGGTATCGTTTTGGACAGTATTGGTGTCCATTGCTGGGCTTTGTATTATTTGGATGGAGGGGAGTGCTGTGTCAACAACATTTGGACTAGGGAGTGTACTTGAGCTACAGGTGCTGACTATTGGGGTACATGGTGCTATGTCAAGCTGCTGCTTTATGGGAGATGTAGTCCCGACTGGGAGGGTGAGCTGAAAACCAGGTGAGGGTGGAGGCTGAGGGGAGGCTGCCCTGGTAACAACCGCCACAGTAACAGTCTGGTTGGAAACCGATGAGTTTGTGGCAACTGCTGTATGAGCTCCAGCACCGCTTACGTCAGCAACGTCAAGGACCATCCTCTCAGAAGCAACCTGCGTCTCGTTTGAATTCAAGTAGGTTGCAGCTGCAGAGATGGTCTCCATGGTGACATCAAGGGTGAGAGGCGTGGCTTCGCTGGGTGTGGAGGCATGGCTAGTGTCAGTCTCATATGTAATGGGTGCCGACAGGGAGGAGCTACACGGAGAGGAGGGGCAGCAGGAATCACAGGAACAGCTGGAGCTACAGGAAAGATTTACAGATATTGAATAACACCTGAATATTATATACTAAAGCTGCAAAAATCCAACTCATAAGGTAAACACAGTAATCAGTGACAGAAAAATTGTTTGAATGGTATTATCAGTACTGAAAATGCTACGTTGATGAACAAAATGAACCTTCTGGGATTTTCTTACCTGGATTGAACGTGCATCAAGACGGTATTATCAGTAGTTTAAATAATAGCGGTAGCAAAAATACTGGGAGTAGCTATTATTTGTGATAGTACCACTAATACCAGTGACACTTGATGTTACACTTGAGCTGAGGTAGGAAAAGCGCCTGGTTCCAAATCAGTAATTACTGCTACTTTTGCTGTTGCGGTAGTAGTTATAGTAGTATCACCACTTGTACTTCCTGTACCATTAGAAAAACTGTTACCTGTTGTCTGAGCTGAGGGAGGACGGCCCATCGCTGTGTGGCCGGTGCAGCAAGGGACCGTGTTGTGTGAGCAGATGGGGGTCGGCGGTGCGTGGAGGTTGAGGGTATCGAGGGGTGGTGAAGACGGAGCTGTAAGGAGGAGGAGGAGTCGAGGGCTGAGCTGCCACCTCCTCATAGGAAGGCAACTTCAGGGATGCCAAGAAACCTACAAGCAGAAGAGGGAAGGAAGGTTAGCACAAAGACACTGGTCAGTGGCCCTTTTCTTTTGTTTTTTTCTACATTTGTTTTGATGTAATGCACCAAGAGGGCAGTGGGATTGCTTTTTTTAAGCAGTCCCTCAGCAGGTTGATAGTGGTAACTTTGTTAAACTGAACTTAATAAAAGCCCAACTCAACAAAAGTGCTCTCTCCTGCAGCCATGTCAAAAGGTGGAAACTAAGATTCGAAAATCTTGTCCTATTTAGCAATATTTTGTGTACGTGACAAATAAAATTTGAATTTGAATGTGAATTCATTTGTATTCCTAGACATGCAAGATATCATGGTTTTCCAAATAAATAAACAATACCCCCCTGCCAAGGGGGGCGCTACAGCGAGTAGCTCCACAAATTAGATTTTTTTATGCTGGACTCCCAAAGCGTCTTTTATCCCCTCATGGGTAATTATAAATTACGCCTGGGTGATCTACCCCAAAAATGTCCAAACCTGAGTTTAAAAGACGATCAAGGAGTTGTGGTCCAGCAAGCATCTGTGATTTATATGACGTAGCCTTGATCTGAATTACAATAATGACAAGTGGGCAGCTTGATGCCGAGGCTCTACAAACAAAACCTGATGCATTTACAGATGCACTTCTCTTTGGAGTGCATTTTAGCACAAAGTTTCTGAAAACCTTTGGTCTATGTAACTCATTATGCAGGCAAGATATATGCTAATGGAGCTTTTTCTGCCAGCTGTAGATAGAACAAGTGATGAAGACAGTGTGATTTATCTGGAAGTAGCAAGACACTTAGAATTCTTTGATCATGCAAACCCACTGCATGGGGTGGGTGTAGCAGAGGAGGATGCTAGGGGACAGGATGAAATGGAGGAAGATGATCTGCTGTGACGAACCGCAAAAGGGTGCAACTGCATAAGGCAAATTCATAAAAATCAAACAAACAAGAAGTGGTTCAATTGTGATGCCACTTTAACTCGATTAGCACAGCGTTAGCATGATCCAACATCTCCTAGCTTGAGTGACCCCTGCTTCTACTTCAGCATATTGGAAAATGACTGACTGCATAATAAGACTTCAGTAAATTAACCATTCATTTGTGCTATTTTGCAGACACAGACCAAGAATGGGATGTGTGGAAGTGATGCATCACATGAAGATCTACTGCAACTTTAATTTTTCTCTGCAACACTTCAAGAAATGTGCTGAAAACCTTTTTAAACATATAAAGAAGCAAAAGTACATAGACTGTACACAGCTGAAGCCTAATATGCATTAAAATGAGCTGATATGTAGCGCCCAGTGAATATTTTTAAGTCATGCAAAAAATTATTCCAACGTTTAAAAGAAAAGAGAAGAAAAAGAAGAAAAGAGGGTAAACGTTTTCACAGGAATCATTCTTTAAGGCCTCCACACTGTAAATTTCCACTGAGTCGTCACAGCCACAGATTACAAAAGCGGCACGTCACTTGACTTGACAGCCGAGCATCAGTCACAAACAAGAACAGGCTTCATTGTCTTGATGCTGTGAGTGGAGTTTAGAGGCAGCTCTCATACAGACAGAGATCCCAAAGGTCCTAGAAAACCAGAAACCTATGGTTTTCCAGCCTCTGTTGTTTTGTAACAGTGCTCGGAGCTTCAGAATGAAGCCTTTTTTTTCTCCAATCAGCCAGAAAAAGATGAAGTCTGGAGCATCTTATCTTTAACCTTCTGTCCAGTTTTGACGAGTCTTGTTGTGGCTGGTTCTCGCTTTAGCCCTGCTGTGATGAGGTACGGATAGAAAAAAAACAAACCTAATCTAAACACCTCATTTTTCAAATAGCCACTGAAAGCATCCAGAAAACACAGATTCAGGTTTCTTACTGAGGTCCAGCATAGAGGAGGGGTAGGAGTTGGCTCCATGGTAGGCCAGCAGGCTGATCTCTCTCTGTCTCTGCTGCTGCTGGACTCTGAGTTTGGCTCGACGGTGTCGGTACGCACAGCAGCAGCTGAACAGGATGAGGACGGTCCACAGCAGCCAGAACCCTGAACACATCACACACACACACAGATTTCATTGTGATCATATGAAAATCTTCATTGACATTCTTGTATGTGACTAAACATTTAAAAAGTCCTTATATACAGAACCAAATAAACCAATGATGACATGACGTGATGCAAAGCGTTGTTGTTCATCTGAAAATGTATGAGAGTAATTTACAAAGTGCAGTAAATGCTCAGAGTCTACAGGAGCTTGGCAGAGAGATTCAAATATTCTGGGAAAAGTGAAACATGAGGAAACTGTTTTGTGGGTTCTTGTACAGTGAGAGCTCGGACCACCACCCTGTCACATAAGTCTCATTATTGGTGGGTGTTGAACACCATCAAGGGCGCCATTTGTCACCAAATCTTCTGGTTTTTTTAGGCGCAGCCAACAGCAGAGATGTGGAGGACCTCTCTGCTGCTGTGCTGGGTTTATCATGCGTTGACCTCCAGTAAACTGTGGGGCGGTTTCCAGTGGAGTGTAACGTGGCTTTAATGGGAAGTGGCACATCTAAGTCGAGGAGTAGGTGCTGCCCCAAGTCGAGGAGTTTAAGTTCCATGAGATCTTGTTCATTAGTGAGGAAGTAATCGAGCAGTGTCTGTAGTCATGTGGACGCTGCTCTGGTCTGTTGTGGTGATTCGATTTGAGCTACCAATGATTTATGGGTAGCAAGAAAGAATGAATGAGTCAATGCAAGCAGCAGAGGCGAACTTCCTCTGGTAGAGCTATACTCCACTGCAGACAGACAGCTGGAAACCCCACAACTGAGTAGATAATCTTGCTATGCTTGTTCTTCTGTTTGGAGCGCATGCAGACGCGTCTGTGTGGTCACAAAAAAAAAAGGTTGACCCTCACTCTCGCCATCTAGTGATTAAATTCACATCACTCAGATTCGCATGTACATAAACTGACTCGAGGACAGGAAGCAAAATTGAAGCTTTAGGAAATCAGCCATCTGGGACGGACTAGGAGTTTCTACTTCTTTACATTTAAAGGAGCCATGAGAAGTTCAGGCATCTGATCATGTGATGCCTCATTGGTGAGTTCGGCTATGTTGGTTATGTCCAACTGGGACAAGAGCTGGGGGATTTGGTCAGGTCCTGTTACCTGAACGAGCAGCAGAAAAATGTTATCAAAGGTTGGAAATCACACAAAAGCTATCTAGTTTGCATCCAGAAGAATGAAGTTATGATAAAAAAAAAATGAACAAAAACATAATTAACTTGTTGTCCTAAATGCTAATATTATAACAGCCTTGTTTTGAAAGAGATAATTCACTCATACTTTTCTATAAAAAAATTCAAGTCAGCCCATTAAGCGGTTGTTAGTGGTTTGATATTCTTTTTCTGTTAAATAAATAAATAAAAATCAGCTAACTGTAAAGCAGCAGCAAGTAAAGCAGGCTTCCTTTATTATTATTCAGTACAAGCACTCCTACAGCTGCATACATGCATGTATAAGAGCGACAGACCCAATTAGGAGTGCAAAATGATGCTGAGACAGCACCTTAAGTCACCGCTACATTACACTGAGCCTTAATAAATGAACTTACACCAGAGTTCATAGTAGTAGGTGCAGCAGCCGGTCTCTCCGCAGCAGTGTCCTGTCTCACACAGGTATCCTCCGTTAACGCTGGCACCCGGGCAGTACCGCGGTCTGCCCAGCAGGGGCTGGCTGCCACCGGAGTGGTACTCCATAGCACCCCTGCTTCATGCACACTTAGCCCCGAGCCACCGCTGCCTGCTCGCCGCAAGCCGCTAACTAGGCGTTAGCTGCTAAAACGTGTGATCCCAGTTGCAAATCCAGCTACATTTTTTCATGTAATCTGTTTTGTAGCCAAACTTTACTTCAGGAGCAGATAGCCTGTTATTCTTAAATTCTGGTCAGTCAGTAAATCCAAATAGCTTCAAAATTAAGCTAATCTACATTTTCAGCGCAGGTGAAACACCTGAAATGATAGATTCAGGCAGTTTCAGCGACGCCTCTGTGATAGCAAATTACTGAGCTTATCACCGAGAAGGACCAGAAACCAGGCGGGAACTTCTGCATCCAAAGAGAGACCGACGGGGCAGAGAGGAGCTTCCTCATCCGTTAGCACCACTCATGCACGATTTAAAGGCTACAGAACAGCAGCACCTACACCACCGTCATGTGACAGCTACTAAATCCTGTTAGTACTGCAGCTGCAAGAGAGCGCTGGGGAGGAGACAGGATGACAGCCAGTAGGAGGCTCTGAACTGGAGAGAGAGGAAAAAAACAAGAAGAAAACAATAGTTAATTGATAAGAAACAAGACAGGGTGTCTCTCTCTGTCTCACACACACACGCACACACACTACTACAGGCCTGTTTGATATTCATTGCCGCAGCGAGTCAAAGCACAAGTGACACAAAGCTGCCACTCTGTCCATGTCACACACACACACACCCGTGTTTGCACTTGTATCCTTGTGAGAACCATTGACATAATTCACCGCCTGAGTCCCGACTCTGATGGACGGGCTCACACACAGGGACAGAGGATCAACATTAAAAAAAACTTCAGGAGGGAAAGTAAAAGTGGCACTGAGACATGAGAGTAACGTTAATGAGTAGCAATTAAAATAAACTGCTGATGTTTGCAGTCATGGTAAAAAGAAAGTACATCTTCATTCTTATTCTAATTTTTTATGAATCTGAGCATATAAAAATCTTCCAGTTCTTAGGTCTTAAAACTATTTAAATACAGCCTAAGATGAACAACGGCTCACAACTTATTACACGGTTTCATTGTTTGTTTAACGTAACTCTAGCAGTAATGCAGAAGCAGTGCATGAAAAAAGTACACCCTTACAGGAATTCAGAGGCTAAGCAGCTGCTGATAATCAAATGCACTTGATTAAAGTCATCATCAGGAAGCGTGAGCACCTCTCTGAAAGCAGGCGTTCTGGTGGTTTGCTGGTCTGCAGCATTCAGATGTGTGTTAACACAATGTCGAGGAGTAAAGATATCAGCAACAATCTTAGAGCAGCAACTGTTGATATCAAATGGGAAGGGTTATGAGGATATTTCCAAACAATCTGAAGTCCATCATTCCACATCATTTTCTGAAATGGAAAACACTGAAGGCAGCTGACAATCTTTCCATGAGTGGACATCACAGCTAATTCACCACAAAATCAGAGCAACATCTCAGACTCGTCAGGCCTCAGTTAGCATGTTAAACATTAAAGTTCATGACAGCACAATCAGAAAAAGACTGAACAGGTGTGCCTGGAAAAAGCCTACTCTCTCTAAAAAGCACACAACAGCACGGCTTAGGTTTGCTTCTGAAAAAATCAATTTTTCAAGACTTCTAGAACAAAGTCCTTTGGACAGATCAGACCAAAGCAGAGACGTTTGGCCATAACGTAGAAAACCAAACACAGCACATCAGCACGAATACTGCTTCATACCAACTGTCAGCATAGTGGAGGATACGTGATGATTAGGGCTTGTTTTGCAGCCCAGGACCTGGGCACGGTGCAGTCATTGAGCAAACCATGAACTCTTCTATGTCAGTGTTTTCCAACCACTGTACTGTGGCATATAGGTGTGCCGTGGAAGATTATCCGGTTTCACCTGATTGGTACTCTAAGGCTACGTTCACACTGCAGGTCTTAATGCTCAATTCAGATTTTTCGATCCGATTTTTTTGGTCTGGTTGTTCACACTACAAATAAAATGTGACAACAAACGCCCTCTAGTGTGAACTCTCAAAGCGGCCCGCATGCACAAAAGAAGACGTCACACACAACACGCTCTGTTTACAGAAGTAAATATGGCGGCTACAGAGCTAGTAGGTGTTGTTGTAGCAGTCTATCAATTTGTGCGCAGTCGTAACCGACAGAATTTTGACAAATTAATTAGAGAAAGAAAGACACTGAGAAAAAAGAGAGCCCGTGCTTTAACAATGGCCTTGTTTGATGCAGTGGCTGCTACTTCCGTGCAGAGGTTTGTCTTCTTTAGCGCTGATAATTGGCGTCTGTCTTGTGTCAGTGACGTAAAAGATGGATTTAATGCGACATGACCATTCAAACAGCAGTCGCTTTGTAAAACATCGGACATGTATCAGATTCAGTACCACATACGAAAGTGACCCAGATCGGATTTGAAAAAATCTGATTTGTGCTGTTCAAACTGTCATACCATGATCGGATATGGGTCGCATAGTGTCAAAAAAGTCGGATTTGATGCGCTTTCACCTGCAGTGTGAACGTAGCCTTAGTGATCGGCATGAGTAACAGGCAGAACAATTGCATTCTCTTCCACTAGAGGGCAGTGCAACTACCTGCTCTAATTAAACAAGTTGCCATCTGCCAGTAAAACAGAAGAAGATGAAGAAGGAATGACTAAATAGTCATGCTGCAAGTGAGATGATGCAGCTCGTAATAGCAATAGATAAGTGTCAATGGAAAATTGTATTTAGTAGTCAGTATAATCTTTTAGTGATATAAGTTTGCATATGGTAGAATACTGCATGTAATTATTTGTATTAGGAAATATTCAACCATGTATACTTAGAGGCATGTAATTAATTGTGTAGTGGCAGGATGTGTGATTTTTAGCAGGCTTGGTTCACCCCCACATCCTGGGAGCATGAGAGAGTTCGTACCCTTTTTTATTGTTTTACGGTAGGATTAACGTAGCTATGTCTGTTTTAGTTTAAGTGCCTTCTTTAGATATAGATGAACTGCTGGACTTCCTCACCGTGTTATCTAGGGTGAACCATCTAGGGTGGGGGAGACTACCCTCTTTGTGACCAAGGATGTAGTTAGTTAAACATGATATATAAGTCACTTAGATAACTTAAAAATGTTATTATTTGGATTTTTTCAGTGTTTTACTTGTTCCTGAGTAAATCGGTTTGGGTAAGATTAAAGTTATAGAATAAACGTCAAACAGAAAACTGATTAAACAGAAGTGTGAGATGGTCGAGAATATACTCCAATGTCCTGTTATATTTTAGCGAGCGAGAAGCAGACGGCTGAGTTTATTAAACTCCACTGAGACAATCTGCGAATTTCATTAAAATTTAATAAACTATCATCTTGTCTTTATTTTTAGTTAGCACATACATTAAACACTTAAAGCTGTAAGCTAATGATAGTTATATAAGAGCAGATGCATGCTGGTGCAATAAGCTGTATGTTTTATGTTCAGTGGATGATGATCTGATTAGTCGACTAATCGCAAAAATAATCGGTGACTAGTCGACTATCAAAATAATCGTTTGTGGCAGCCCTAGTGTGCGGGGATAATTATCAATATGGTTTTTGTGACATTTTTGTTTAGGTGGTGTGCCGTGTGATTTTTCTGATGTGAAATATGTGCTGTGGCTCCAAAAGGTTGGGAAACAGTGACCTATATAACAAAGTATTCTGGAGTCAAATGTGAGGCCATCTTAATTCACGCAACCGGACAACGATCCCAATAACACCAGCAAATCTACAACACAACAACTGAAAAACATAATAACCAGTGTGCTGCAGTGGCCCAGTCAAAGTCTAGACAGCAAAGTGGAAAGCTGCCATTAGTCCTAAAGAGTGCTGAAACAATGCTGTCAAGAAGAGGCGACGTGAGGAGCTGATAAAGTCATACAGGACATCAGAACCACCTTTGGCAGCAAACTATGAAATCATGGGGTGGGCTTAGATTCTCACACGCTGCGTCTTCATTTTAGCTTTATTTTTGTTAAATAAAATGTAATAAGGAATGACAGCACAATCACATCACATGGTTTGTTTATCTGAGCTTGTAAATCCTTAAAACTGAAAGAGATTTTTTTCACATCTGCAGGAAGTCTGTTTTCACTGGTGTAGTTAAGGAAAATGAAATTAGTGACATCCCAATGTCTCTCTTACTCGTGGCTCAGTTTTTGAGGACGCTTTTCCTTTTTTGCATGTAAAATAAATGTTTAGCTAAAAATTTCTGGCAAGATTCACATTCCCCTCTGTACTGTCCGATGAGTGAGAGACACTGCGCTGCTTCTAACTCTGAGTCATTTCAGTATAGACCTGTTTATTGATTAATCAATAAGAAGAAAATTAATCTGTGTACGTAAAACAATCTTTAGTTTCAGGTTCTCAGTCATGTCTAATGCTCCAGCTGGTGGAGAAGTAAACTGAAAAAAATAACCTTTTTAAAAGAGGTTTGATTGTGAAATTTGTTTTGTTTTTGGCATTTTATTGTAACACTATATTACAGAGCAAACATATCACCATATCACAACAACAGTCACCTGAAGCCACTTTATATGTAAGGTAAAGACTCTGCAATAATAACAGATTATTCAGCAGCAGCTGGTTGTAGCCTGATCACATTGTACTCTGTATCAGACAGTTATGTCTTTAAAATGAAGTTAATTTTCATGTTTCTATTATACACAAATACACCAGCCGAATATCATTACCACATTCTTGACTACCATCTATAAACAAGATGGCAGAAAAGATAAACAAAGCCAAAGCACAGAAGTGTTGAAAACTGCTTAATTCAAAAGTAAATCAGACATCCAACTCTGCATTGGTTTATGCATCTAATTTCCCCATTTATAACTGCATTGCTATAACTCATTGGTTTCTCTTATTTTAAGAAGGACGTGACATCTGACTGAGAGTTCCTAAAATGCGATCATACTTGTTTTTCTTCAGCAAGCAAAGGAGGAATTCATAATGCAAACATTAACAGTGATTCTTTTTTTGTGTGTGGAATAAACTTAAACCCTCAAAAAAGCCCTGTAGAAAGGTAAAAACCAAAATGTCCTCAGTACGTATAGATGTCCTCACTCCCTAAAACTCAGTGGTCCCCACACTGACAGATGGCCAAGTGGACAAACACAGTGCTGCAGAGTTCACAGGAAAAGCTGGTGGTCTGTACAGGACTTTCTTTACTGGGCCAAGTTCTAGCTGCATTCTGCAGTACTACAAACACGCGCGCGCACACGCACTCACACATTCTTTGCAGCCTGGTAAACATGATGGCTGATGGTCAGTGAAGGCAACACGCGCGCACACATAAATGCCATATGTGTCCATACAGAGAGACGTCAGTAGTAAACACATACACGTTATTTATGGCCGCAGAAGCCTGGAGCCGCTGACTGCACGCAGGTTTTACTCAGACCCAGGCAGCCTGTAGACGGACCCCCCTCAGCTGCCTAACGGTAAAACCCCCCGGTAGCTCATAAACAAAAACAGCCCTACCGCTCCGTCCGTCCGCCCGTCCTCCACTGGGTCAGTCTGCGGGACTGGCTGCTTCTGCAGTCGGTGTGATTCCTGTTTGTCTGCCGCGGTGTCGGTGCTGGGTACGCCGGGGCCTCCTCTCTCAGTCTCTGGTCCCCCGCCTCCTCGCGCTCCCTTCTCAGTGCGACCCTCCGCCAGCCCCGCCGCCATCAGCGCCAGCAGCACGTCAAGCATGCACAGCGCGAGACCACACACCTCCGCCCTGTCACCACTGTTCCTTTCAAAGTAAATACCTCTTTTAAAAAGTGCAACAGAACTAATGTGTATTTTCATAACTGTGCCACAAAATGCAAACCAGTCAACTAATCACGAAAACTTTGTTTTTTACCACTTTACATACACATCTATGACAAGTCTCTGAAAGTCTGACCTAATGGATTTTACACTCAAATATGGGTTTTCTTGCATGCACCATTAAACAGAGAGCATTGTGAAAAACGAAAACAGGAATGAGGGGTGAATTTGTACAAGCCATGGAGTTCCACAGCGCTCTGATATAGAGCCTATACTTCTTGTTCATGTTTAAATTATATTCTTGTTAAAAAAACAACGACAACAACTCGTAACAAGTGATTGATGGGTTATTTTTCCTTCTATTCTTTTTAAATAACTACCTTATCAAATTATATTAAGGCTTAAAATGTACATGATGGGGGCATGGTACTTAATTCTGATCTTATTCAATCAACATTATTGGCGGTACGCAGCCCCATAGACAGGAGGCAGTAGGGGCCTTCGACACCTACTAGTTTATTAGAAGTTTTTTTTTAATCATCCATTCACATAGATGACCACTAACAGAGGTATAGGAAGACTCCATAATCTGTTGCTGCTGGCTTCCAGTTGATAAGGCAATATTTATAGGTAAAATTATTTAAATGGAGAGCATAACGTCCATTGAATGGACTGATAATGATGAGCTAAAGCAGGTGCTTTGACAGTGGATGGCAGCACAGGCTGACTTCAGTTAGCCTGCGCCACCTGAACTGTGTTTGTGCTGTTGATGCCTTTTAATTTTAATGAAAATGCATTTTAATGAAGGTATCTGACAAATAACAAGGCTGCTGTGCAGTTAATTCTACTAAGAGGTCATCTAAGATGTCTGTGCTCTAGTAATAGCGAATGAAATTCTAGGATTTTATTCAGATCTTGCCTAAAACCACCATACTGGCAGTGAAAAAGCTGTGGCTTCAAGATTCAAAACCAGTGAGTGAAATCATGGTGGCCACATCGTGTAGACTCCAAACATTTTGGTCAGCATTTGCCAAGCCAACTGTATAAATAAAGTTGGCTTGGGGCCTGGAACCTGGAACAAGAGCCTGGAACAAGAGCCTGGAACAAGAGGAGACTAATGTGCCGAGTGGAAACAGCAAAATGTTTAGAAAGATATGCACAATATTACAGTGGGGCAAAAAAGTATTTAGTCAGCCACCGATTGTGCAAGTTCCCCCACTTAAAATGATGACATTCTTTAGGATTTGTAAAGAATTTATTCGTAAATTAGGGTGGAGAATAAGTATTTGGTCACCTCAAACAAGGAAAATCTCTGGCTCTCACAGACCTGTAACGTCTTCTGTAAGAAGCTTTTCTGTCCCCCCTCGTTACCTGTATGAATGGCACCTGTTTGAACTCATCATCTGTATAAAAGACACCTGTCCACAGCCTCAAACAGTCAGACTCCAAACTCCGCCATGGCCAAGACCAAAGAGCTTTCGAAGGACACCAGGAAAAGTATTGTAGACCTGCACCAGACTGGGAAGAGTGAATCTACAATAGGCAAGCAGCTTGGTGTGAAAAAATCAACTGTGGGAGCAATCATCAGAAAATGGAAGACATACAAGACCACTGATAATCTCCCTCGATCTGGGGCTCCACGCAAGATCTCATCCCGTGGGGTCAAAATGATCATGAGAACGGTGAGCAAAGATCCCAGAACCACACGGGGGGACCTGGTGAATGACCTGCAGAGAGCTGGGACCAAAGTAACAAAGGTCACCATCAGTAACACACTACAACGGCAGGGAATCAAATCCCGCAGTGCCAGACGTGTTCCGCTGCTGAAGCCAGTGCATGTCCAGGCCCGTCTGAAGTTTGCCAGAGAGCACATGGATGATACAGCAGAGGATTGGGAGAATGTCATGTGGTCAGATGAAACCAAAGTAGAACTTTTTGGTATAAACTCAACTCGTCGTGTTTGGAGGAAGAAGAATACTGAGTTGCATCCCAAGAACACCATACCTACTGTGAAGCATGGGGGTGGAAACATCATGCTATGGGGCTGTTTTTCTGCCAAGGGGACAGGACGACTGATCCGTGTTAAGGACAGAATGAATGGGGCCATGTATCGTGAGATTTTGAGCCAAAACCTCCTTCCATCAGTGAGAACTTTGAAGATGAAACGAGGCTGGGTCTTCCAACATGACAATGATCCAAAACACACCGCCCGGGCAACAAAGGAGTGGCTCCGTAAGAAGCATTTGAAAGTCCTGGAGTGGCCTAGCCAGTCTCCAGACCTCAACCCCATAGAAAATCTGTGGCGGGAGTTGAAAGTCCGTGTTGCTCGGCGACAGCCCCAAAACATCACTGCTCTCGAGAAGATCTGCATGGAGGAATGGGCCAAAATACCAGCTACTGTGTGTGCAAACCTGGTAAAGACCTATAGTAAACGTTTGACCTCTGTTATTGCCAACAAAGGTTATGTTACAAAGTATTGAGTTGTATTTTTGTTATTGACCAAATACTTATTTTCCACCCTGATTTACGAATAAATTCTTTACAAATCCTACCATGTGGATTCATGGATTTTTCTTTCACATTCTGTCTCTCACAGTTGAAGTGTACCTCTGGTGCAAATTACTGACCTCTGTCATCATTTTAAGTGGGGGAACTTGCACAATCGGTGGCTGACTAAATACTTTTTTGCCCCACTGTAACTGCAAATACAGTATTAATACAGTATTAATACAGTATTAACAGATATACAATTAATGTAAAGTACCCCATGAAACTATATACTATATATAATATAAATATTAAAAATATAAAATATGTTTTAAAGAAGTGTTTGTATATTTTAAGTTATTAGTATAATATAAAAGAATAAATCTGTGTAGAGTCATGTTGTTTCATGTGTTGTTTTATATAAAATACGAGTGTATATCTAAAGTAAATATAATGTTTCACATGGCATCATCGAAAGTGGTTACAGTTTCACCTTTATTCAGTTTTTTATGCAGCAAAGTCGATACATTTGTAGCGTCGCCCATTGCGAGTTTTATTTTGTAAAAACCATTAAACTAAAACGGAAGTTGTGCGTGTGCGCTTTTATCTGACTGCACCGCCACGAGCCAGCAACAGCTGCTGCTGCAGCACATCCCCATCGGTGTGTCGGTGAAACCAGGAGAGAGAAAAAAAAACACCTCACCGACGAGGACGTGTCTGTATGTTCATCAAGAAATAATCAATTATATCGACATGTCCTCGCGCGCAGGTACAGAATACCTCAGACCAAAGGCACGTTCAGGTTTCACAGGAAATAAACAGGTCCTAACAATAAATCTTAGTATAGAAGAAAAAAGAGGACCATGGTTTCTCAGTACGGACGCACTGGTATCTGATTGGCTCGAGGTGGCGGGCTGGGAGCCAATCAGAACACCTTGAGGGATTTTGCCGGTCCTAGCAACAAGAAGAAAAACCAAAGGGTTTCGCACTTTTCTCAAAAGAGTAAAAAAGGAAATGTGGTGAATTTATTGAAACTTTTACTGCTAAACTTTCTTCTTCGCTGAATCACGTGCTCTGACACACATCTGAAAATCTGCTTCGCACCGTTTTTTGTGTCAGAAATCACTACGAGTTGTGAGAAATGCATTAAGAGGGTTGAGAAAACTCAGAGCTTTAACAATTCTTCTTTAACTGAACAAGGACTTTATAAATCTATTATAAACTATGAAGCTGTTTGAAACCATTGTTTGTATTGACAGCATGTCGACATATAGGGAATGATATATGGGGATTTTTAATATCACGTTACTTTGGATCTCTGACCTCATCTTCAAGGTCAAATAAGGTCAAAATTTAAATAAAATGTTTGATCTTTAAAACTTTTTTTTAAATCCTGCTCCTTATTTGTATTATTCACGTGTAGGAAATGATAGTGGCGATTCTAAATAATTAAGTCTGCATCCAAATCAATCAATCAATCAATCAATCAATCAATCAATCAATCAATCAATCAATCAATCAATCAATCAATCAATCTTTATTTATAAAGCACTTTTCATATAATACACACACACACACACACTTAAAGAGTAAAATTGGGCTGGGGACACATGAGCCAGGTGAGGAAACACTATCACAGGGAGCCGTCTGCACCGGGAGCCGGTCACAGATCGCAGCCACCAGGCTGGGCACACAGGAGGAGGGAGGCAAAGAAGCCCACCAGCCAGGCTGAGAAGACAGGCAGAGCCCCAATAGCCACCGTTGATCACAGCCCCGGTGCAGAGAGCCCCCTCCAAGGAAACACTGGAGATATGACCCAATAAGAATATATACAGGATAAAAAGATAAAATAAATAAGAATGGGATACAATATAACTTTTAGTTGAGTTTTGCGGCTGATGGAGGTGGGGACTGCTGAAGATTTGATTTAACACCTGGAAACATGGCTGGAAATGTCTGTGAAGGTTCTCAGTCATCCAGGTCATCGTAGTCAAAGGAGCTTGCAAAGAAAAGCGTCTGGACTTCAGTAGCATAAACTCAGCCACTTATAACATTGCTAAACACCTTGCTACCATCCTTGCTCCTCTCGTGGGGAACACCCCACACCACATCAAGAACT